GTAGACACCTCTATACGACAACTGAGCCCTTCGTGTGGCAACTGATCCGTCCACATGAAAGAATCCGCTACTCTTGGTAAACGCAAGGCTGCTATTTTATTAAAGGGTAATAGAAATAGTTTGGGCTTAGAAACTGAGATTAGGCTGTACAGCAGCAAGATGTGTGGGAAACTGCTTTTTTCCCCCCATGTGATAAAGACGATTCATCATGAAACAAGCATTGAGCTAGAAATAAATCATTTATTTTAAAACAATACAGGTTAATAAATAGATTAGTTATCAGAAAACTTAATAAATAGCCTTTTATAATTTACACAAGGCAAATACAACATGCCTATAACTATTTCTTAAAAAGCAAAGAGAGTAAGCTTGACTTGTAAGCCATTAACAAATCTATATATACATTATTTGGAAGCTAATAAAATAAACCATTTTTATGTAATCTGTAGTAACTATATTGCAATAGCATTGAAGCAACCAAACCTGACACTGTATGTTTGTTACCATCTACCTTTTCCCCATATGCCATTAGAACTATTTTTCACATTCCAGGAAAAAAAAAGAGTCAGTAAAAAAAAAAAGTTCCAAAGTTGAAAAAGAATTTAACTTAAAAATATCCCTTTTGTGTAATATTTTCCACTCTGCAGAGCAACTGTTGGGGAGCACGGGGGGGCGGAACACAAGAAAAAAACAATAAAAAAAATATTTGCAGCTTTTCAAAAAAAGATTTCTTAATCCATTGCATTTCAACACTGCTGTCTGAAACACTTGGGCACTAGTAATAACTGTTGACATCATTGGTGCCTAACACGGTGCACGCTAAAATTCTGCATCACTTAAGCCCATATTCAGTAGCACCAAAGAATTATTACAAAGACTAATCTCTGTGAAGAAAAGATATCAGATAATAGATAAATATTTGATAACATTTGATTTAACAGCAAAACATCAGCAGTTACACCATCTCAAGACAACCGACAGAGATCTTTAGAATCCTTGATGCTTTATGTTTATGAAACAAGAAGGTGAGAGGGGTAGAACATGCAAACAATGGCCCATTTTAACCACCCCATATTTAATAACCCCTAATCTTTCTTCAAATACAAACTCTCTATTTTTAAATAAAAAGGAAAGCTAAACCTCAGATTCTAGTGTTTCAACAAATAAAATCCAGTGTTTTCATTTTCCAGTGCTAGTTACTTCAGAAAAATACATAAGTTCAATATAAACTGAGATTATTAATAGGAAGCCTCACTTGTCAAACTGTGATATGACAGGTTCGTTATTCATGTTAGTCGCAGCTCACTAATAAATAGGCTCTATTTACACAGACAGAGTCCTGCAAAGTCAATACAGCGGATAACTTGTTTAGATATTTCTTTTTTACATAATTATTTAAGGTGTAACAAATTTTTTTTTTTTGGTTGTATCAAAAAGGTTTCTATTTGAGGGATTTTCATGTTTGACACCTAATAAAGATCGTGACTGACACATGTAAATCCTCCATACACTGAAGGGATAATGGTCAAAGAGCTACCTTCAAGTGAGTACCAAGTAAATATGTTTGACAAGTATAATAAAAGCCAGACATACAGTGTGAAACACATTTCACATGGATTTGAATTTCATTCAAATGCACCCCACCACTGTAATGAGTCCACTTTTTGTATGCATAGCCTCTCCCACTTCTACTTTGGACTCGGAACAGGAGTCATCTGGCTCGTAGCTATCGACAGACGTAATGCAAAGAGAACGTGAAAAGGGCAGACCCGTGAGGGATACCAAAGCTCAGGAGACAACTATGCACATTTGCTCCCTGAGATGATGGAATTCAGATATCTGTCTTATTCAAAGTGCTTACTTGTCAAAGGGGCGGGAAAAAGAAAAGTGGGAATGGCTAAAACTCAACTTCAGCAGTGCCTCCTTTTAAATCAGAAAAGCAACGGGACTAAAAAAGGTAGGACACCTAGAATGAGGAGGGCGTGGGAGGGAGGGGGGAAGAACCATACCAACAGTGACAACAAAAAATGTTAATATATTTCTAAAGTTAGAACTGAACCAGATCCAGGTACAGCAGAACTCAAAAGAACACTCCCGCATACTGAACAAAGTAGCAAAAATAAAGGCTTCCATTATTTAGCATTCATGATGTAAAAGCCTGCAGATATAAATGATGTGCAAGGCCGCGAGAATTTCTTTCACCTTATGTGCTGGCTTTTGACATCTGTTTTAAACAACAAGGTTAACGAGACATCTCTAGAAAGCTCATCACAGATGAGGAGCAGCTGGGGAGAAGAGAAGAAACCTGTGCAGACATTTACCAGCTGTGAAGATGGTCAGAGGACCATCGAAAACAGCTGCTACTTTGTTCTTACTCTGCATAGCGAGAGCATATCAAGTAAACTTGTGTGTGCGGTGCAGGAAATGGCAAAGTTTAGACAGGGCAGTCAAGTTATTTTGGATCTAATGTTTACTAAGAATTTGCAGATGCACCTAACATGCTAGGATAGGCACTTTCTAAATAAATAGGCATGATTTTTAAAACAAAACAAGACAAACAAATATGGCCAAAGGAGGACTAAGATGAGACCCCAATCATTTCCATTTTAACCTAAAGATTTTCACAGGAGTCTTCAGAGATTAAAGGCTAGTACAAAACCAACGTGCAACTCACAAACTCTGAATGTGAATTTCGAAAAGACAACTTGACTGCTTCAGAAAACAGCTAACATTGTTTTTAAAAGTAGGTCACTACAGGTCTCATAACCTATGTGCAATTCCAGTTTCAATCAGAAAAAGGGAATTAATATGACAAAACTTAACTGTTTGCTGACAACCAAGATACCATCTTCTAATCAATAATGGACAGAGGTTAGTTTTAACCAACTTTCATAGTCCCATTCTCCTCACCTACAATTCTCAAACTTTCTAGAAACCATACACAGTATTTGAAAATCCATGAAGATGGCCTTTTCTCTGCTAGCGCTATTTTATTTCATCAAGATACGGCAGTTTCTGTGCTGGCTTATAATGTACGTTTCTGCCAACTCAGAGTCATTCCCCCCCCCAGTCTGGAGTTCTAAAACAAGCTTCCAAATAACATAGTGGGGCTCTTACTCCCTCAGAATAGTCCCTTCAGAACACTAAATCTTTAGGATTCACCATTCATGATTATTGCTTCTATCAGAAGAGCTTGTAACATTCCTTTTAAATGAAAATGGCTGAGTTTTAACTCAGGTCAACAAAACCCATCATGAGAGTGGACAGTATTACTCCCCATTAATCTACGTCCATATTCTGGTCAGCCGGCCCCAAAGCTACATTCATGATTTTTTGATAAAGTGTCAGGAACTTTTTCAAATGCTGTCTTGTAATCACATTGAGTATTTTCGTTTGTTTCAAGAGATGTTCTGAACTAGAGATGTTGAGTTCCATTGTACCCTTCCATTTTTATACTTAAATGGAAACCAACATTCATTAATTTTCAAGCTTTCTTTGCAAGTTTTTGACTCATGATGTTTTAAACTATCAAATATTAAGTACAACATGAAAATTAACTATTTCTTTCTTTGACATACCAACGTTCTCTAAATGGTTTAAACTGAACAGTTCAGAACCCTTCCAATCTTCACTTAAGCTATCTGTACTACATGTCAAAACACTATCACTGAACTGGTCACATAGGTCTGTAAATTACTGGATGTGAACGTGTATCCCTGTTGGGTACCTGAAACTCAGCCCTCTGAACGCCTGTGCTTTTTCAGTGTTGAACCTCATTTTCCCATGTTACAAGAGGATCAGACCATCTCTTTTTGAGCTATGAGAAATCTCATGCTCCTCTCTCTCTTAAATTTCTTTTCACAAAACGGTTCCTTGTATTTAGTCACTTAACTAGAATAAAGGTATGCTGGACTGCTTTGAACAGTCCTTCTGTAGATTACCTCTTCCCACTAGGACTATGGGTTTTTCAGAAGCTGTCAAGGCATCTAAGGGTCTCAGTTCAGGTTTGTAAATGCTTCCAAAAACACGTGGCTCCTTCTAGATGCTTTACCTGTTTAGAATTTGAATACAGTCCAATATTATAGACAGTGAAATTGAATCATTAAACCAGTATAGGCCATCTGAAACAGATACATTCACACATACGCAGTATTTTTGGATTACAAAGGCACTGAAATAGTTCTGAGTTGCTTACAAAAAAGCCACCATATAGGCAATGAGTCTGTGCAGCATTTCCACATCCTTCACAGTCTTTCTGTCTGCTCCCAAATAAAAACTGTCAGATGAATGCGGTATGTCTTAATGCACGTAAGTTACAAAGAAAAATGCATACCTGGACACTACCATTAGCTGATAAGTAATTAGTGAAAGATTTCTAAGGGTCCGCTGCTCTGTATAAAGAATTCAATTTAAAACTCCCCAGTGTCTTCACTGCATGGCAGACCAAGTTGCCGAGACAGTCACTAAAAAGGGCAAATCTGCAGTCTGTGGGTCAACCAACATTTGTCTCAGAATTCACAGCCTTGACGGTGAACACATTGCTATATTAAGATAATTACAAATTGTTCCACTCACTTCCCCCCCCCCCCCATGTTTTAAGGTATACATCACTCATGAAAGGTGTCAGATTGAGTGCATTAGAAACTGATGTTCTCTGCCCACAGAAACGGTACCTCTGAAGCCACAGTATGAGCTTTCACACACAGGTCTGTCAGAACATCCCCTGATCTTTTCTGATGGATTGCCTTTTACAATAAGGAAATACATCGGTCTCTATGCTCACTCAATCAGTGGTTCCAATTAGGGTCATTTCTTGTGTTGACTGGGGTACATGGACAACTGTTCCTTTGAAACTGGATGGAGGCCTCCAATTCATTTCACGTAGGCCACCAAATCGTCAGAGGGTAACTACCATCCCCAATCATATTTGAATCAGTGACCTAGAAATGAAAGGCTTTGCATCCTTCCCTGAGCCATCCAGTTTCCCCTCAAAAAATATTTTAATCTGTCTTCATGTTAGGTTTATTTAAATCCCCGATATTGAAATTGAATTCCTTGAAGACTTGTATAAGAACAATTCCAATAGATACTGTGGTGAAGCCACAAGCCATTCCCAAGAAATCTACCACTCCTACATTACTCCATTCCCTGAAAAGGATGGCTGAAGCCAGCAGGACTAGGGTGGTAAACACCACGTAGTAGATGGCACCAAACACAGAGGAGTCGAAACATTCCAGTGCCTTATTGATGTATCGGAACTGAATGATAATGCTACATCCTAATACTGCCAGAAGTACCAGACAGAGGTACAGAGCCCTTTGACTCGAGGGGTTATTGTGAAAGATATCTTGAGCAGCCAGCCCAATGCCTTTTGTGCTGGGAACAGTGAAACTGCCCAACAGAGAGCAAATACTGATGTAAACCATGATATTAGTAGGTCCATGAGCTGGAGCTATCCAGAAGATAAGCAGGAGAAGCATTAGCAGCACTACGCAGAGATAACCCACGAAAACTGGAAAACAAAAAGAAAACAAGATAATAGCAAGGTGAGAACTCTTGGTCTTCTAAAGATTTTAGCAGGCAAATCATGTCATACCAGTGAACTTCACGTATACACCATGATTTTTTTTTGGGTTAAGTAACCGAATTACTGAGGTTTTAGAGATGACGTGGGCATCTGCAACTGATGACATTGTCACATTCTTCGTGTAAAACAAATCATCATGTAGTAAGACACACGCTGTTGCACATCTGAACTGGATTTAAGATGGCTTTTTTTTTTTTTTTTTCCATTCTCTCTTCCATCAGGATCACACTCCTTAAAGCCCCCTATGACAGACAGCAGTGCTAACACCTCATTCACAACCCGTTCAATAGAGCGTGGTGTGTGGATCCAGCAAAGAGCTTAAACATAAACTTAGATCCCATTAAGGTGAGTAGCTGGAAGAACTGGGAGGCTGTATCATTTACATAACAGCATCAGCACACAGGTTAGACTGGTGAAAAACATTTAATGCTTTATGGTTTTAAAGAAATATATTTCCAATTCATTTCGGTCAGATTGAAATGGTAAATTTAAACCAGGGTATCTGTTTCCTGTTCTTTGTTTGCAAATTTTTTGGATAGCTGATGTTACTAGGTTTGAGTTTCTCTCACTTAAAGCAATTAAAGGAAATAAAAAGAGCTGGCAGTTTAGCTCTTATGAAAGAAAAATAAAAGTGGTTCTGGCACTTATTAGTATGTGTCCTCCAGGACATTTTCTGTGAGAAAGAACAGGCATTTCAGCATACGTCTCAACAGTGTATTTCCACACACCTTTATTGTGCAAAGAAATCTGCTTGGAACGTAACTGGTATCTAGTATAAACTTTTAAGAAAAAAAAAAATTAATAAATAAAATATTTGATAACATTTTAATAAAAAACCAAAATACAATCAGCATTTTTTGGTATAAAACAACTTAAATTGAGACCCTAGAATCACACCTTTCATGTCTAAGTAGCAAGATATGCTTTTTTATAATTTTAGAAAATTGTAAGTTCAAACAGCCATTGTTCTCAGCTTGCTGTGCAGGATAATGTTTTCAAAAGTATCCACATTTTCCTTTCTGTGCACACGTATCAACAAATCTGACAAGTTCCAAGTGCAGCAAGGTACAGTTTTACCACACAAAAGCTGTACTGGTTTGCCTCTGTCACATTATGGTTTCTTCAAAAGTCAATTTTCCTACCTGATGGAAGTGGTAAGCCTCTTTCTCCTGTGTGCTTTTGATCATTCTCACAAAATCATTCTGAGTTAATAAAAGAACAAAGTACCTGGATTTGTAAGCTTCTCTTCAAGCTCAGCCTGAGTCGTTACACTCTCGGACTTTGGGGAATGGATGATGAGAACAACAGACCCAGCGCAGCTCAGCAAACATCCCAGCTTGCCAAGAATGTTCAGTTTTTCTTTCAGTAAGTAAGAAGCTAAAATGGACCTTTCACAAAGAGGAAGAAAATTAAAAGTTTGACTACATCCTGTTAATCATGCTCCAGCAGTGATGTGCCACAGGAATTTCCCTCTTAAAGGAACAGCATCAAATGTCGGTGGATCTTTGACCAAATGTTGGTGGATCCTCAAAATGCATTTCTGACTTATCTTAGGAAAGATTCATCCAGTCTCAGTCTTACTCAATCCTTGATGTTTCATCTCAGGAAAAAAACCCAAAACAAACAACAAAAACCCCCAACCATAACACCCCCAAAACCACCACCACATCATCACCTCCAAAAAAAACCCTAATCCCCCAAAACAGGCATCTGGCACCTGATGGTGCAGGTATCTACCCCTTCACGATTTGGTGAGCTGTCACGAAGCCCCATTTCAGAGGTGCCACGCAGTCATGAGATAAAAGTGGCCTTTGGTTACAAAGATCACAGGGCTCAGCTCAGACACGTAGCTGACCGAAACACACAAAATTATGTGGCCTAGGATAAAATAATAGGTGTGCTTCATAGCGTATAAAACTAAAGACAGTCGAGAAGCCCACACAAAGCAATTTGTGTCACCTACACTCTGAAGTAGGTGACCAGTGCAGTCAAGATACACAACGCAGCAGACACCAGTAGGCAACAGAAAAATTGTGAACCAATGCACAGCTTTGTTTTTAAATAATTGTACTTTTCCACTGCAGCAGTTTCACATCCATAGTTTAGCTATTCACAAAACATTTAGTCGCATATTAAACTCCTTTTAGGAACACTCACTGCCTTTTTTGTTCCCCCCCCTTCACATGAACATAACATTCAAGAAGCTGTGGGCATGCATATGCAAGGGACTCCCTCGCTTCGGGAAACAGGGCCAAATTCAATTACATGAAAAACGGCATCAAAAAATACATGTGGGCTGTGGATAGCAGGGGAGAGAAAGAATGCGAGACAAAAGGAAAGATCTACATAGTAAGGGAACTGCGAATAAGAGAATAGGCAGAAGAGTCCAGAATAATCACAGTGAAGGGGGGGGGG